TGATTATTAATACATTTTGTAAACAATATATTATTATTTAAAGATGTACCTCACTTACATGAAGGTGTGCCACTTTTATAATGACTAATAAATTACAAATAAAAAGGATACATCTTTTACCTATATTGAGATACTATTATTTTAGCAACAATACTTTTTATCAAAATCTTTATATTACATAAACACTCGTAAGGTTAACCTTTTTAATTAATATCTTGCAAAACCCTTCAGTGTTTTTTTTTTTACTTAGACAGAAATAAATAATATTTATTTTCTAACCTTGTTCTACAAGGAAATACAGTTTTGATTAATTTTACGTGATATGTCACCTTGAATTCAAATGAAATACAACATTATTTGTAATAACTTGCGAAAAGATTTTACGTGTGTCTTAAGCTGACTTTATATTGTTATTTGCCAGGAATTGCGGTTTATACAGCACGGACTATTCTTGTTGTGTTTCATAGACCTCATGTGTTACTGCGTGATAAAAGAAGAACAATAGTCAGTAAAACCTTCGCAATAGAAATTACTAATTGCAAAACCAAAATACAATAATTTCATTCATGCTCATATAAAAAAATATTCAACATCGAAGAATATGTGAAATATGTACTGCAAATATGTGTGCACATTATTTGTAATTAAAATATATGCATTCATTTCTTATTTTAAAAAATGACTTAGACTTACAGAAAAAAATCTAATTACTACTTTACATGAAATGTTAATTATATTAAGTAATATTTTTATAAATAATGCTTTTTGGAACTTTTAGAAATATTGGTAAATCTTAATTTGAGCATCATATTTATGACATAAAACCATAAAAAATTTTGCTACAGGATCTTTTATTATTTTAAACATTTTCTTTTGATGGTTTTGCTATTTGTAATTTATTAGGGTATCTATGTTTTGACGAGCAAAGCCAAGTCACTGCTTAACGGCTAAACAGTTGAATTATTTACATTTAAATGTTTCTTTTGTCTACCATGTATGTGATAAAGGCAAATTGTTTTCTAGAAACCTTCCTTCCTTTAGTTTAGTCCAATTTATAGATTTACAACTGAATCTTAACGCAAATGTGTTTTATTTAATTTTCAAACGTCGTATAAAAATTGGCTTTCAGTCGCTGTTGTTGTTGTTGTTTTAGTAAAAGGAAAAGAAGAAACTTGTAGAAAGCATAGTGCATTGTCTTTAAGTGTAGAAAACTCCACCAGTAATAATTCTTATGTTACGATGGTCTGAGGTCTTTCTTATTTAAGATTATTACAAAAAAATTCTCTTAAAGAAATTGCAATTTTAGAGTCTGACTTACCAAAAGAAAATTCATTTTATTAATTAATCACATATAAATTTTGCAGCAGACGTTCAAGGAGTAGACGGCTAAATTAAACCCAACAATGATTGAAGTTTCAGAAATATGTCCAAAACACGTGAGAGAGATTTTTTTAGGAAAGGAAATTAAACTGCACCTGAAACCCAAGTGATTAACTGTTTCAAATAATGGGTTGGTGTAAATAATTGTCCTTCCACAGTCAAACAAAAATAGATAAACACAATTTTCTTGTTGTTTTGGTTAAAAGATACAACAATTTAATAACAAATATTCAATTTCTAAAGCATTTCTGTTTTGTTTACTATAGCTAAAAGTTATCTTCTAATTTCATGAAATAATATGAGTGGTATCGGAAATGTTTAAAAGCTTGTTGTGATTAGTTTTATTCATTATCAGACGGGGATTATTTAAATCAACGGTAATAATGTATAAATTATATTATTAAAAAAAATGCAAAAAACCCCCAACAAAGCTAATAATTATTTATCAAATATTTTACCATTAGTCAAAACTATCATCATGTGTCAATATATATTTTATATCGTTTTTTGCACAGTGATAACAAACTGTTTCTCCTCCTTCCACTTCTTTTTGGTTTATTATTATTATGCGTATTATTCTTCTTATTATTTTTTACTATTACCATTACTGTTATTATTATTTACTATTATTTCTATCATAATTATTATTATTATTGTTATTATTATTATTATTTTTTTTTTATTATTGTTATAATTATTATTATTATTATCATTATTATTATTATTATTATTTTTATTATTATTATTATCATTATTATTATTTTTTTTTATTATTATTATCATTATTATTATTATTATTATTATCATTACGTTTTTCATGTAACGTTATGTCAAAGCAGTTAATGCAAACAATGTATGACAATTTATACAATTTTAGGCCAGACATCTTTGTCATCTATATCAGATATTACTTTTTTCAACTGATTAGCTATTAGCAATAAAATGAAATCTTATATCCATTTAACATCGCAGGTTATTGAGGAAACAAAATGATACGATACACGATACAGACGTGAATTCCTTATATAACCAGAGCTATCGTGTTCATATAATAGTAAATCGTAAACTACTTATTGTTGGAAATTGGAAGCCTTTTTACTCATAACCTAGAACATTTCACAGACACGGAGAGGACATCAGATCGTATGAAATGTTACATGTCATCCATTCAGCCAATGGAATGTGTTTGCCTTGTTGAATTATAGATACTATATATACAGCTGCAGTCACATATTTTAATTCACAACGCTCAATTGATTCTGCTACATGTCAATGTTACGAAGAAATAACAGAATTGTAATTAATTTCTGATTTGATGTCTGGTGAAAGAATCTTCAAGGATTAATAATATTTGAAAGGATTATAAAAAAATTGAAAAAGTTGATAAAGCTAACAGTTCTTTAAAATCTAAGGGAATTAGACAAAATAGCTAATTATTTGATTGCAAGCATAAAAAGAATTTCATATATACTTACGGGTATGGAGAATGTCATGGGTAGCATAAAACCTGTATCAGTTAATGTTGGAAAATTAACTGTAAGGCCTATTGACAACAGCAATGTTTTAAAACAGTACATCGACAATGAAATTATGCGAACAAAGTTAAGTGAAAAAAATGATATTTTCACCGGCCCAAATGATATAGTTTGGCTTGATACCAGGGCGGGAATTTACAGTTCTGAGAGTGTTTTTGCAAACAATTTTACGGCGACTTGTTGTGGTAATCTAGAACAAAATGTTTCAACACCTTTCCACCAAGTACCAGATTTTTTATATATAATATATTCTGTATATATTTCGTTACTTCTTGTGCTCGGACTTAGCCAAAATTCGATAACTTTGTACGTTTTTGTAAAAGAAAAGTGCTTAAGAAGATCTCACAATATTTTTATCGTTGGGCTGGCTGTGGGGGACGTTTGCATGTGCCTATCAAGCACTTGGATGGTAATAGTGTCCTCCGCACATCACCGATGGATTTTTGGATACTCTGGTAGGTTTGCAATTGCATACAGTCTGAATGAGTATTTGAAAATAAATAATTTGTCTCAGAAATAATGATACTTATTTTAAACCAAACCCCGTTCCTTATTAAAACGTGTCTCTTATGAAATATTGCAATACTTAATATTTATACAAATTGTTTCCATTCTGTGCTTTTGTATCATTCACAATGATATGAATACAAATTGGCCACAGAATCAATCATAAGTACTTTAAACCAAAGCCCTGTTCCTCATTTCAAAGTTTCTTTTATAAAATATTGTCCCGTACATTCAATCAGGGATGTTATATTTCCGATGCTTAAAGATTGTTCAACTCATTTCAAAGTTTCTTTTATGAAATATTGTCCCGTTCATTCAATCAGGGATGTTTTATTTCCAAAGCTTAAAGATTGTTCACATTATTGTTGCGTGTGCTCTTGGTATATTATTTTTAGTTCTTTTTATTCGGCTTCTTTGGTTCCAGTATACCTCAATGGAATTCTGTTAAATCACCCTTATCTTATCTATTTATTATGATGGGTAATGTGTGCGGGGCGCCAGACGAAAACACGACAAAGTGTCATATATGTTGTATTTTCTAGTTTTCGACTGGCGCCCTACAGAAGGAAAGTACGGCAAAATTGTTACTGTTTCGTATTTTCGTGTGTTTGTCTTGCACATCGCGGTTTCCTTATTTGTTCATCTTTTCACATGTGTTTTTGTTTCTAAAAAACATGTTCGTAATAAGGCAGCATTAATTGACAAGAAGAAAGCGTAACATTGAATTTGTGTCCAGGTTTACTTTGTAACTAATTCTCATACCCTTTACATAGAATATTTGATAGATATAAAAGAAGGGTAAATTGAGGTTAAAGAATAAATAATTCTTTTCGCGCATTTCTGTCAAAAATTTTCAATCCCTATCAATGAAATTCAATACTTAATCATGGCAACAAAAGGAAATATATATCAATATTCTGTAGGAATGTTTGGAAAGTGACATTTTAGACATTTGATGTGATACATATTTGTCTTATATTACTTACAAATACACACATCTAAATACGTGCTGTATGTAAATATAGATGAATTGAAGGCGAATGAATAAGAAAACTATCCTATGTGCCCCTACCTTTATACTAAAAATACCAAAAAAACATCCGATAATTATATTGTGGCAAAATTTTAACAAAACATCTACTTATATTCATTTATAGTTTTAAACTTTTTTCTGTCTCTCAAGACATTTAATATGTTTTCAAGACTGTAAATTTAAGTTTAAATTATATTCGTATGAGTAAAAAGTAGCGTCTATTCAAAAAATTTCCTTTGTTTTGCTATTTTATTAACCACTCCTGAATAATCATTTAGATAAACACTTACAAGGTCGACCTAGACTTGTCAAATCTCAAGGGAGAAAAATAAAGGACATACATTTACATTGCTGACTGTGCTTCAAAATTTATAATTGATGACGACTGACAAAATGATTTCTTAGACGTAAGCCATTGTTTTATTGAATTAAACTATTTCTTAAATATTCTCAAATATGTAGCAATCTTACATTTAATGTAACATTTACTTTAATTTTATCGTATTTTAAGTGTGTATTTTAAGTATCAATTTCATTTCAGGCTGTGTGTATTACGGGTTTACAACAACCTTACTAGGCATTACACAGATATCTTTATTGGCAACAATAGCGCTCGACAGATACCTTGTCATTGTACGCCCTTCACATTGTACTATTGGCATGAGTAAAGCTGTCACCATGGTTATATGTTGCTACGGTTACGGATTTCTTTGGGCACTATTTCCAGGTATTGATTCCTATCATACCACACTATGGAACCGGACTTTAATTCAAATAATGAATACCAACTAACCAATATATTGTATTCGTTCTTAATTGATTATATCTTTTTCTTAAAATGTATAGCTGAAATGATAGACGGTAAATTCCCTTTTATTTTGAACTAACTTTTACAACTGCTTTATCTATGAAACAATTCTCCAAGGTCAAACTCGGATTTCAGGTATTTAATTGGTCAGAAACTCACACAGAATGTACAGTAACCAATGCAAATCCAAAAATCTGAGTCAATACTCCAAATAAAATTTTATAACCTGAGCTTATCTTTAATGCATAGAAATATAAAAAGAATACAATGAAAATGTTTTTTTTTACATTTTAGCTGTTGGGTGGAGCTCTTATCAATTGGAGGGAATTCGATTGAGGTGTGCCATTAACTGGAGAAGCAAGCGTCCGCTAGACCTGTCTTATTCTTTATCAATATTAGTGTTGGCATGGGTTGTGCCCCTTGGAATAATCCTCTTTTGCTATGGAGCAATATGTACTTTGGTATGTGATTTTTACTTTTTCCAATCTGATAAAACATTATTTGCCGCTAGATTGTATTTCTTTTTGCGTAGAGATTCATGAACGAGCTGCTGCTTTTCTGGAATAAAGGCTCTTGTGCGGAGTTTCAGATCAGTTGCCTGTTTTTTTCTTTTTTGACAACGAATTCAAACATATTATTACATAAATTTTGAATATCTAAAATTGTTTTTAATAATATTTTTTGTAAATAAAATCTATATGTATTGATTTCCGGCATTCATTGAAGAAGTCTTGCGGCCTTTAAGATATGAATCAAAACAAAATATTTTTTTTCATATATTATATATATTATACAGTTATATAATCATTTGTTAAAATATTTTAAATTACACACTTGAAGTTATTGTCCGTTGTGCGTAATATATTTGCCTATCATTGACATCCGATAACATGTGCTTTGTCTGTAATGCTTAGGGTCGGATTTTGAAGTGGATGTTTGTTTAAATAGAAACTAGACAACATCGATTATCGTGAATTATACTCTTTACCAAACAATTCAGAATAGAGATTAATATCTTGAGCATCCGCCATAACATCAAAAAGTTCTTATGTGCCGAAATGCTGTTGAAAATGTTACTGCTTTGACATTGTATAAAACGTATCATTTGCGACGTAATGTGGATCGTTAATCTTGATAGGATTTACGCTTTCTTTAACAAGTAGAATGACATTAAAAGTTCCAAACGCGGTATGAACCATTGTCGTATTTTATTGTTGAACATGCTCAATCAAGCCGAGCTTGCAACGTTTTCAACTTTCGCGCTTATGGCGTTCTTTAGAGCTTCTGCTTTTCACATTTTAACTGTTTTCGTGGGTTCAACTTCCGACCAGGCAAGGCAAATGTTAACTTGAGCAAAAAAAAAAAAAAGACAAGAAAACCAAACAAAAAAACTTAGCAATAATTCCATAGTACTTGTTATCTCAAGGAACGGATTCAAAATTTTGTTTGTAAACTTAAAGTTTCCAAAACAATCGAACTAAAATACATTCTGTATAAATTATATCGTTGACCTTTTTGATATTACACTGGAATGTCGATTAACGTCTTTATATCATAGTATATTTTATACCTGTAGATATACCGGGAGAGAGCAAAGCCGCTAAGGGCAACAATGAGAAAAGGAAAGACGGGGAAACACAGACGTCGAGAGCAACGTGTTGCCATAACGGTTCTCCTTATGATTGGTAAGAATATTTTATAATAATAAAAAAGATCAAACCATAAGAAATGAAAAAAATCTGAAAAAATATTATGAGCTTTTTTTACATTTTGTAAAGAAGTTATGAAATAATGAAGTTTCGATTTTGAAATCATGTAAATGACATATTTCCTTATAAATGTTTGCTTTGGATTGAATAAAGCACTATATTCAAATGCATTCTAAACATTAAGTTAATGTAGAGTTTTGATGAGGGTGATATATCGGTATTGTAATTATCTAAAATACTTTTATGTCGGCTTTCTACACGGGTTTATGTACTATTTGTTGCATAAGCATTTTTTATAACTTAATATTATAGTTAGAAAGAAAACAAATATTTTAGATGTTTTAAATAATCATATATTATAAAATACCTTCCATTTTGCAGGTGCGTTCTTTCTAAGTTGGACACCGTATTCTATTGTTACAATCATTGTGATATTTGGAAAGCTAGAAGACGTTCCTGTGTCTGTTGTTATGATACCAACTTTGATGGCCAAATCGTCAATCATTTGGAATCCGTTAATTTACGTGGTTCGACACAATGACTTTCGGAAAGCGTGTTTACGTCATGTGCCTTGTATTACATGGATTAAAAACGCATTTGTTTCCACATCGATGTCAACCAATACATCCTCGTATACTGTATAATATCATATGGATTTTTTTCAAAGGCTCTTTGTGTGTGTTTTTTTAGATAATGGTACCATGTGATAAAGAATGTTTTTGTATATGATAAAAGAAAAATCATAAACTTTTGTTTTTTCAACAATTTTCTTTTTTCTTTTTCTTCATTTGTTTCTTCTCTTTTACTCCAATGTTTCTAAAAATAATTATTATAATCATCAGAATCATAATAATGATAATTATAAAATAATTTGATAAATAGCAAGGGTTTCGTATAATATTACATAAATATTTGCTTTTATTATATTTTTTCACATTTGAATATTTCATGAAACGTGGTATGCCTGTCATTGAAAATATGAAAATTGAAACTATTGTGTAAACAGCAATTATTCAAGATGCTAAAGGGAAGGGTAATTAATTCTGTCATACACAGCAATTTACGATATTTATATCCTATAATTGGTTTCCACGAACTGTTGTTTGTTGTTCGTTTCCACAAACTCTTCCATGGTGTAATACATGTACATTAACTTCTACTGAAATTATTGTTTATATAACAATTTCTATAAAAATCACATCCATACATAACAATAGATAAATTACATAATTTTACAAAATAAAAGTTGTTTGTGTACGGCCATTGTATTCTAATTTACAAAAGACTGTAAAAGTAACATAGTGTATGTTTCAAACCTATCGTAGGACTTTCAACAACACTGCAACGTTTTATGTGATGAGCAAAGAACAAAACAATGGACTACATTGCTGAATAGCGATACATAATACATGCACAATCATAGTGTAGTATGATTTTATCAACGATAATATCATGTCTTTTAAAAATGTCTGAAGAATATTGCAAATGACAAATGAATTTGTTTAACGTTATTGTCTTTGGCTGCTGTCTCCAACATGACGAGACATTATTGGTGCTCCAATAACTTATTGTATTATTTGCTCAATATATCAGCTGAAAATATCATTATCGCATTCATCGACGGAATCATGGCATACCTAAATGTGTATTTTTATGTATACTTTATATGACCATTGTGTAAAATACTAACATTATAAATTATTCATTTTTTTTTTACATTTCAACGTATTCAGCATACTTTTGTTTTGGATACCTTCAGTAAATTTGTTCTTGTTGAGATAGCATCTACATATATATTCATAATAAATATTTTTCTTAAAGAGGAACATAGTTGACATTCTTTTAATTTACCTTGTTACACATAAAAGATGATTTTGTTAATCAGTGAAGTTATATCATAGAAGAAGAATTAAAGTGGATTGCAAGCGATGTTTGCAATGTGTTACGCTTCCTTCGCAGCTCACTGAATACACTCACGTTACTTCAGTGGAACATTCGACCGATGCGCAGAAGAGTAGTAATGTGTAAATCATTTTCTTTGTTCACTCGGTTCATTTTACTTTTTAAATACATTTTTACAATTTTCAGGAAAATTAACATGTATCTGAGGCGTGCTAGTTGCTTTAATAACAAACAAATCTATTTTGTTTAACAAGACAGAGCGTGTCAATGATCTGTTAAAAAAGTATTGTTATATAAAACGGTGTACATTTACAAGTTATTAAAGTGGTATAAAATGCTTGTATTACTTTTTTGTGGCTTGACATTTTTTCCACAAATTTAATTAATAATTTATTATTTCCTCTGTAAAATTATTATTAAATTTTTTTTGAAAAAAGTGAAATGAGTCTTAATAATTTTGAAAAGTAATAAAATCTGATATTTGATAAACAAATTTTTTATCGGTGAAAAATTTAAAAAAAAAAAAAAAAACCCAGTTTCAGAAATTTTAAAAGTAAAACAAATTTTCTTGGAAAAAAAAATCCCCTTTTCTACTTTTTTATATCGGATATATTTTTCATTTTGAATTTGATTTAATTCAAAAACAAAAAGTAAAGTTCAGGTTGGAACGTCACAAAAAATAAAGATTACAAATCATAAAGGGTGATTATTTCTGAAATCCCCCTAGGTGGTTTTTTACCGTACACAAGAAAAATTTTTAAATATTTATTTAAAATTTTTGTTTTATTTGATCAACAGTGTAGTAGATATGTCGCAGAAAATTTAAACACGTAAATAATATTTATTTATTATGAATATCTAGCAGTGTTTATGAACTTAGTAAGTGAAGACATATTAGTTTTATTGCTTAATATAAATTGAAATTCATATACGTGAAAATATAATTATTTGGTATCAGTATTATATATTCTTTTCATAATGTGTCTGTGAATTATGAAGTTATAAGAAAAGATATAAAGAAGATGATTTAGAATTAAATCACAGATTTTCTTTCACCCAGTTTTCATATGTTTTTGTTATAAATAACAATTTTATTTGAGAAGACTTTATATATTTTTATTTTCTTCAGTATGTATCTAAAAAGATATAGAGAAACGGTGATTCATCGGAAGCATTAATAACAACTAAATTACATGAAAATTGCAGATTCGACAACATTCAGTCTGTACATGAGGAAACATGTTAAACAGTACAACACCACTCACGCCCCCTAGCACCAGTTTGAGTGGTATTGAATTTTCATCACTTAAAAATGCCCCGAACCAAAGATCCCGTGCGAAAAAATAAAAACAAAGGGAAAATAAAAGGGTTTTCGCCCAAAGGCATGCACCCGCTGTTTTGATTTACAAATGTATAAAGATCTTGAGAAAAGGTAATCCATCGGAAGCATGAATCACAACAAAATAACACAGTCAATATTATTTCAGACTCGGTTTGAGTTTGCAAAGTAATTTAAAGTTCACGCAATCTTTTCTTGTATTAAGGTTTCTTCTAATACTTTTTAATAATTGTTATCATCGTTTGACATAAATGTTTATGAACGTCATTTAAAATGTCTGTAGTTCGTTATTGTTTGATATGTCGGGACCAAGATTCGTATTATGCTTTCTTATTTAATCACATTCTTTAAGTTTATAGAACTTTCCCTTTTTGATTTCTTTCTATCTTGTGAAACATAAATCATGTTAACAATAAAGATGACATAAACACAATCCTCAATTTCTAGCAATATTCGTTACCTAACTGCATAGCTGAATGTCTCATTTCTGTTTTATTATTACAGCATTATTAAGTTGCTTCTGATTTAATTGCATTAATTTAATAGAGAACAGCTAAAGTTTCTTGTTATATATGTCAAACACTCCTTGATGAAAATTAAAACATTTACAATGTATTAGATAAAATCATTGTATGTCAAAAAAAGATTAAGTCAAATTACTGCGAAACTACTAATTGTAGGATATAAATCAATTATCAAAATAATCTGTATTATTTACGCATATTTTTTATATATGATTCTACTGTCATATCATTTTACAAGATATTACCAATCAAAGTAGCCGTCAGAAATGTGCTGTTTTGATAAGACATTTTCCCCAACGTATGCAAATAGTTCGTATATGCGCCGCAAGGTTTTTTCAATAGTTACAAACATTTGTTTAATATAACTACTCAGTTATATTTTGATGGCAAATAATTTATTGTACAATTAAACCCAATGCTGTGCAATAAAGTTACTGAAGTTTGTGTCCGTCATTGCGGCAAAAAGTTTACACTTTCTCAGTCCAGCAATTGTATTTGAAATGTGTAATATGCCATTAAGAAAAAAATGCTATACTATAATGTAAATTTACAAAACTACGGAATCATTCTAATTAATAATTACACCATGAAGAAGTTCTTCAAAGTTTTATCATATACACCGACTGATAAACTGAGAGTAATATGGATTTTATTTCACTGCCTAACATAATATTTATACCATCATGTTTAATCAAGAGGGAATCACCACAACTCCCCAGATTACAAACTGATAAGGTCATTTTTGGGTCACTGTCATTCCTTGTCATTGAATTTATTTAAGTCTAGTTTAGTTTGGTATAGTTTAGTATGCTTAGTTTAGTTGTTAGTTGTTAGTATAGTTTCTTATTTATTTATTCCATTCGTGCACAAATAGTTTTTTCGACTTCAATAAATCACTTTCTGCTTCGCTTCAGTGAACTAACTAACACTTGTGTCATAAGAGGAAACACGGTATTGACACGAGTAAGTATCGAACCCATGATCTCGGAATTCAGTGGCGGAAACCGAAACTACAAGGCCAATGCTATTTTATTGTTCAGCGAATAACTAGATATAATGTACGACATAATAGAATGCCTGATTGTAACAAGGTAATGGTGATAAACATGAGTTAAAATAATCCTCTTCAAAGTTCAATCGGGCGAACTTGATAGGCACAGTAGGTGTCGTAGTCCGTGTTTGTACACGTGAGAAAGAACATAAAAATTACAAGTAATTATACCCTGTGGATGTCCATTATTAAATGATGTCTAATTAGTAGGTAAAATTAATCTCTCACGAGTATTCGTGTGACACTTCCATGTTTGTCTTTTCAGAGACAATTTGCCTGTAGCATTTTCCTTATTTTCTTATGAGTGACTTGAAAAAATTCTTTGCTGAACTTAACTGCAACGGATTTAGTTTAGAAAATACCAAATTACAACTTTTTGTTACATGCTTGTGAAATATTGTAGTTGATATTTTTAACGTGAAATTATATTTTAATATTTGCACCGCGAAATTATGTTAAATGTGACTTATGAATCATTTATAACGTCTGTTCACTCTGACATATATTTCGATCTCAAACAATTGAATTGAACAACCCTATTTAAAGCATAAGATTAAACGTAAAAATTACTTTGATTAAAAACTTGATTTGTATATTATTAAATGTTCAAATGTGATGTTTCAAAAGGTTTTTTTTATAAGTGATGCAACTAAATATTTGATGTTATTATTTTACGTTTTCTTAGATACGATTTGTTGAGATGCGAATATATCATACTTGAATCACAGTGTCAAATGCAAGGCAAAAATAAAGTAATGTCATAAGCAATGTACAAAAATGTTTATATTATAAACTGGAACAAGTTCATACGTTGCCTTGTAATCACATTAAAAATTCGACTTTGCATATCCCTTTAATATTGTATCATTTTATATGGAAAATTTTCAAAATGTTTTTTTCCCCACAAAAGTAGTTCAATTTTTCCTCTATAATCCAGGAAAAATATCGTTACAGAAAAATTTGAATCATGACATTGAACAACTATGATATAGATATTAAATAAATAACACATGGGTTTGTGGGTAACAGTAAAAAAATCATCCCGAGGAAAATACTGTTACCCGAGGCGTAGCCGAGGGTAACAGTATTTTTACGAAGGATGATATTTTTACTGTTACTCACAAACCCATGTGTTATTTATTTTATTACCCCGAACAAAAATACTGAGATGATCTGAAATTGTCAACTAAATCTAACTGTAACAAAAATAAACCAAGAGTAACAAATAACTTAACTGTCCTTACCTTTTTAAGTTTTAAGTGTACTTTACTGTAGGCCTACTTGAGAAGTTTTCTTTTTCTTTTATTCTTTAAGCAAGTGATGATATCTACAAATCATAAACATACAATAAGCTAGGTTTTATTTAGGAAACAAAACACTTACCCATTTACACGGTTATGATCTGTGAAATCTGATCCTTCTGTTTCCAGAATATTCTTAGCATGGTTTTTGACAAAATAACGATGATATCCTATGTCCACCATATCTGTAACGTTTCACTGATTAAATTTGTTAAATAATCCTTTGTTGAATGCTTAAATCTTCTGCATGTTCCAGTTTGACACATAATTATTTACATTGCAATCACTTCCGTTGAAAACGGATGTTCACTTTTTGACTATTGTGCAAAAAAATATTTTATATGCTAAAAGCACACCAGGATACAAACAACTAAATTTTACGAGTGTCATAGGGACTCAGGAGGAGAAATTGATGTCCTATCGGGGTTTAACGTCGAAAATAAGAATGAATCGAGAAAAAAATGGCGGCCATTTTATTTCATTTTATTTAGGAAATAGACCACGTGACCGCTTAAAAAATACTGTTACCTAAGTAACAGTACAAAATTTTTAGTCACGTGGTACACTTGCATTAACAGTAAAAATAACTCCCAGAGGCCTATGGGAAATTAGCATTACGAAAAAAGTGAGGGGTAATAATAGTAGATC